AGATGTGTATAAGAGACAGATATATATATATAGAGAGAGAGAGAGAGAGAGAGAGAGAGAGAGAGAGAAATATAGATGTACATTATGTGCTCAGTACATACGTTTAATAATAAAAAGATATATTCAAAATAATAATTCTAAATGAATTATAATAGTAGTGGATTATAACTTATTGAATAAAATAAAAATCCATAACTCCACATTGATATAAATAAATAAAATGAGTGAAAAGGGAAAGCTCTTTCTTAAAGGAATGATGGAGTTAGAAAATCATCAATAGATACTCAAACTTTTTTCAAATAAAAAAGCAAACTCCTGCCCTGGCTGGTTTGGTTCAGTGGTTAGAGCGTTGGCCTGTGGACTGAAGGGTCCTGGGTTCAATTCCAGTCAAGGGCGTGTACCTTGGTTGCAAGCTTGATCCCTGGCCCTGGTCAGGGCTCGTGCAGGAGGCAGCCAATCAATGTGTCTCTCTCACATCGACCTTTCTCTCTCTCTTTCTCTCTCTCCCTCCCTCCCTTTCACTCTCAAAAAAAAAAAAAAAGCAAACTCTTAAAGCAGCTGCAACACCTAGTGCCCAAATCTTGGTTCCTAAGTGCCATTCTCAATCCAAAAGAACCAGGACTTCTTGGAAAAAATGGCTGATGCCAGGGCTGGGGCAGGGAAAGTATAAGATGGGCCTGGAACATCTCATGGTGCCAGAAAACAAGCAAATGTTCAAGGAAAGATGGGGACTTGCCAAAAGAACACAGGCGCCAACTTGGAGCACCTCTGGATGGCCAAATCTGGGACTTATGAGCATCAAAATAAAGAATGATATTAATAAAATAGGCAACCAAGGGTCCATGACAGGATATAAATAAGTAAATAAATGTAGGAGAGGGGAGAGCTCTTCCTTATAGTGGAAAGCCAGTTAGTACAAGTCAAAAGAGTGATGGCATTTGAAAACCACTATTTGGCTACCTGGAGAATCATCAGTGAATGCTAAAGCTGGTGGGTGCAAGTGTGAGGAGTACTAGGATATTTACAGTGTCAATGCATCACTCCACAAGATACTCATTAATTACAAAGGGAAAAATAGTAACTTTACAGTGGAGACACTATATGGCCCAATGTTCCACCTGGTCTTACTTTAGCTCCTACTGAGGCCAGGTGAGACAATCCTGTGACAACAGAGGTATGAGGATACTTGGGCTGCCTCCCTCTGTGCTGTCACCCCTGGGT